TTTATTAATGCCGCGAATTAAAAATTGATAGTTGACGGAAAACGATTTAAGTAAACGGGCGACATGGTTTCCTCCCGACTGAATTCCACAGGTAAAAATTCCGTCGTATCGCGTGCAGCGCACACCGCGCCATGCTTTTCCGCCACATAACCGATTTCAAATAAATAGAAGTTCCGAAGTTGAATCACCGGGATAATTAACGTCGAGTAAGTAAAAAGTTATAACGGCCAAGTTGGAACAACGGCAACCTGTCGCCCTTTTTCGCTAAGGGAGAGCCGACACCGAGTTCATCAAAGGACCCGTAGTTGAAAAGTGACGCAGTCAATCTTAGACAATCTATATAAAGCGCCCTCAAGTACCCCCGCGCTGTATTCTCCTTCAACCGGACATTCTTTGATCAATCTAATGCCCGTTTTTCCTAGAAAGTTTGATTGGGTTCCGTCTTTCTCCGTAAAATTTCTCAGCCCGGCGAGCTTGGAATATCTCTCGCCTTAAAACTATTTTCCCGAGGTAAAATTTCGCCGAAGCGAAGCCCGCGTTGAAAATCAACGAGGACTAAAATGTTCCCGTCTAATTGAGTTCGGTACGAAGCTTCAAGAGCGAAAACTGCTCCCGGATTATCGATCGCTAATCGCCTCGGTAGTCGGTTCGGCAGGTGAAAAGAAGGGAATGCAGGAAAATCTGAATCGTCCGGTACAATTCACCGAGATAATAATCATCCGGCGGAACGACCGCTCGTTACGATTTCAGCATCGGGAATTGCGCCCCGTTGCATCACGAGCCCTGTTCGTCGTCTCCCGAGAGCGATACATAGGGGTGTAACGGAAGGCGTGGTAATTAGATGACAGAGACTCGAATTTATGGCTCGCGATTCCCCGTGCGTGCGCATCGAGTTTTCATCGGAGCGGGAGATAGTATCGCGCTCTCGTGAATCGGCCAAGACACGACGAGCGGAGAATGGTGAACGCGGGGACAAAATTAGCGTGGCGTAATTAATTCTTCGCGTCGTCATTGCCCGTTTACGCGCGGGCTGTGAAATGAGGCGCGATCTCGGCGACGATTTACGATGTCGGGGAAAATGCTGGTCGGTTTACCGGTGTGAAACAATTGCAGGATATTAACAATCGTTACGCGGACTTTCTCACGCTGGGAGAAAAATGCTAACGTCCGAGTGATATTTATTTGATCCGGGTGAAGTGAGTATGCCTCGGAAAATATTTTACTAGAAATAGAAATATAATTGACTACACACAATATGACATTTCTATCGTGTAAGCAGAGTTTTACTTGTATGTGCTAAAAGAGTTACGTCAAGTGTTAAATTCTCATAATATTGAAAGTCAATTGAATATCAGAATTTATTTTTAGAAAATATTTACTAGATAGGAAAATCTAAATTTTAAACCACTAGGATTTTCCTCCTAGGAAAAGAAATATTACATAATTCTATTAAATACTTTTAATTTTAGAACATTAACCGGGGTTACCTATAATCCCAGTGAAATATAAAATTCATCATTCTTTTGTTCACAGAGTTTTTTTCTTTTCAATAATCGCATAATCATATAGAGGTTACATTACCTTATATTAGTGTTAATAAACAGTGATTTCATGTTAGCAGTCCAGGGTTAAATTTAGAACCATTTTATACTCACGATTATTCTTTGTTAATTTATTTACAAAGTAAGATATTATAGCGTTCAAATAAGTATTTACTACAAACTATCAAAATATATTTACATTAATAAAAATATTATTTGATTTAAGAAGCTGGAAACAGGTATTTATGTTTACTCGACTCACATTTTTTTCTGTACAAGAACCAATTCAACCTGTTCAAATACAAATAATCATTTCTATATCAGAGAATTATGTATCTTTGATACGACAGATGACTGGAAGCGTTAGCAATCACAAATTTAATTAAATCCCCTGTCCCAGTCAAAATATTGACAATTGTAGATTCTCGAGATATGAAACGATGCATGCACGGAAAAAATAATTCCGTTGGTATGACTGAATTTTCCGTTGCTTGGGGACTAAGCGAAAGTACGGTTGTAAGAAAGATTCCTGTAGGAGGTTCGTACTTAATTAATTATTCTCAGTTGTTTCAATCGAGTTTTAATGAATCTAAATGTTCAAACGAATATTCTCAGTCGCTGCAATAGACATATCACTTCTTGTCGCGAAAATTTAATTTCTTATCACCCACTTTTTATCTGCTCCCTATTCTGTTGCAGGAACGAAGTTCTTTTCTTCCGTGTGTAAGTACCCTGGTCAAAATTTCATGCATTTTTTAAGCAATTATTGGACAGTTGATTAACTTCTATCTAGTAACTGAAGAGTAAAACTACTTGAGACCTCGATGAAGATGTAACGCTTTTCCTTCAGTTACTGAGCGCAAGATTCACAAAAAAAAAAAAATAAAAACACCTCAGAATAAAACTTTTATCTGCGCATCATGGATTCCAAAAAAAGACTTTATACCCTAAGAAAGATTTCACCCTGTATTCATGTTCGCTTCGAGAAGCTAAACGTGAACTTTATCGTGCTAATTACGAGTAATATCACGCTTCTCTCGCACTTTCCTCGTTCGAGACGACGACACGTCCCTAATTCAATTGAAAGCTCTCCCCGGTGTTCATCGAACACTGTATGCTCGCGGAACTCACATTATTCCGCAATTCTGGTCCAGGAATTCGGAGCTGGAGCATCGTATGACAGTCTTAGCGACAGTGGAAGCACCGATTCGACGCTGCCAAGCGTCGAAAGTTAATTTAACTTTCTCCAACACTTCGCAGTGGTAATATCACCACCGATTGCAGGGGCTGCTCCGATCAGCTCGGCCGAGATTCGCCGCCCCGCCTAGAAGACTTTTCCCCCCGATACAACGAGGGTTCGGAAGAATCACGGTGGGCCACGGGGGACAGAGAGAATGAGACGAAATACGCGAACGGTATCAGGGCGCAATTGCGAAAGTTCGCTGAGAATGAGCTCTAACTAAGCCGAATCCCTGCCGAAATCGTCCCGGTGACAGAGAAACTTCGAGAAGAAGAAGTGCAGTTACGAACGCGCTCGCACGCGACCTGCCGATGTTAATCAAGAACTTGCCGAGCGACGAGCTCGTAAACGTCACCTACCTGTGTGATTTCCTCTTTTCTTACTTCTCCTTTCCTTTTTACGCGGTTTCGCGCCAAGCACTCGGCTTCCGGATGAAACGCGCGAGCGGCGCGACGGCGTCTCGGCCGGGGCGCTGTTTCCCCCCAAAATTCGCGAATACTCTGAGCGCTCGCATAAGTCACGAATACATAATAAGGTTGCCCGCGTTCTCTCTCATGCATGCGGCACCGCGTCATTTGCATTCGCGAGTGACTTCGAGTCGCTGTCGTCGTAACTTTTCCCATGCCTGGTTTAAGGGAAACGCGCTTGAGGATTCGACTTGACTGTGTGAGTACGCTCGCTCGCCGGGCTTATCGCGTAACATTATTTCAAACCGTCGACACAGAATGATTAGAGATTATGCCATTTGCATCGTGGAGCGCGCTAATACGCGTCTCTCTCTCTCTCTCTCTCTCTCTCTCTGAGACTGTCCGCACTAAGAAAAAGATTTTTTCAAATTTAATAAATTTTATCGCATCCAAACAAATTTCATCATTGGCATGTTTCAAAGGAACTAATGCTTCGATTAATAAGTACAATTGTTAATAAGTACTAAATCTAAAGAAACCTTTTTCTCTGTGTGTATTCTAATTATGCATTAATCTTGATTGTTGTTCTTACAGGATTCATCCTAGAGTATAATAAAATTGATTCTATTCAATTTTATTCTCTCCCTCTCTCTCTCTCTCTCTCTCTCTCTGTGCGTGATTACGTATATATATATCATCACACGCGCGGTATTACGAGGGTTTATTGCTCGATTTAATATCTAATTTTAACGTGTGTATATTGATACTTGTGTCCGTATTCCACTTAGCGCAAAATAGATTTGCATAAACAATCGCGTGATCCGTGATCCGAATGCGATCTCGAATTGCCCATGTGAGGCCCATCAACTGTCGCACATTTTAATCGATGCGTGTATGCGTGTGTGTGTATGTGTAAAAACATTTGTATTACATTACTTATTGCATTAATAAATAAACGGAATTACGAGGCTTTGGACAAACGTTCCGGGCGCCGCTCGAATTCTGCCTCGAAAGCCGGTGATTTCCATGCTCGCGCGGGCTGCCGTAGTTACGGATGCAAATAGGCTAATATGATTTCGCGAGACATAATAACGGGGGGATTACTGATGAATCCACGGGGGGCTAATAAAACACCGATGTAATATCGATCGATACGGTCCCTGGGACAGCGTTAACCGACCCGCTTGACGAATGGACCGTCAAACATTCCCGCCGGGGAGGCAAGAGGAAGTTCCATGATCGAGGACTGATAAATCGTGAAAAAAAGAAACACCCGAAGGATGCGCACGATATGACGCGCTCGCTATTACGGATATTGCAGTGCGACGAGTGAATGATATTTTCGGATGAGTAAACCGGGTATATTAAATTAAAAATTCCCTCACGGTGACCCACTTCCGCTCACCCGAACTTATTCCGCCGACCCTCTGCGCGCCGTCGGAGCTGCTGGGGCAGCGTCTCTTATCTCTCATCGCTATATTTGCCCCGCGAGAGACGCGTAGGCTTCGGAAAAGAAAAAGAAAAAGCAGAGAGAAGACAAGGGGATAAGCCCTCCGTGAAACGATTCATGCTCCAGCAATTCCGTTCGGGTCCGGGAGTCAAGATCGCGAATTTGGATGTCTCAGATTTTCACCCCCGCTTCCAAGCGCGACGGGGGTAAACACGAGAAATCATCGAAAAACGATGAGCGTTAATCCTGGTAATCGGAAGCGCCGATTGCACACATACTAATTACCATTCATCNACTCGACGCTGCTGCACGCGTGCACGCTGACGAGCGAGAGCGCGCGGTTGCACCGCGACAGCACTGACCTTGACTTTCCGACATCTCCGGGCGGCGATGGATCTTGACTGCCTCCTGAGCGCCTCCAGAGGAACGCGTTGCCTTCAGGATGCGCCGGCGGATGCACTTCGTCACTGCACGGCGGCACCACCACCACTTCCCGTTCTTCTTCTTCTCCTTCTTCTTCTTCCTTTCGTTACTCTTCCTCGCGTTACCACGAGCCTCACACCCGGTGATAAGCAGCGGCGACCGGGCTCTCGCCGTCGCTCACGACTTCGCGGACGGTCACTGGCGTGCGACGAGGAGAGCGGACCGACGGTGCGCGCGGCAGCGACGGGGGTTGCGGTGCATTCGACGGGCGCGAAGGGATGCACGCGGTGCACTCTCAATCTCTCTCTCTCTCTCTTTCTACCTTTCTTCCTCTCCCTCGTTCCCTTGCTCTCTTTCGGCCTCGGTCGCGCGACGCCACGACCACGAATCGCTCGCGGCGCGGCTTGGGCGGTGACTGAGCGCGAGGACTGAGGCGTCCCGACGCTCTCTCGGCGTCGCACCCACCCCCGCCTAACCTCGCCGATATCCCGCGGGCGGATAGATAACGCCTGCCAGAATTTCCACCTCCCGCTGCTCTTACACCCCTTCGTCCGCGCAGCCGGCGGCGAACGAGATCGGAAAGTTTCCCTTTCGCTGCTCTCCGGAGGCGCTCTTAACCCCTTTCGGGGCTGGCCGTTACCGCTGCGCCGTTCGACACCGCAACCCTCCGGTGCCCGTTAGCCTTAACGGCGCCGGGATACGTTAGCTCTGAAACTGCGTGAGTTCACACGTTAGTTCACACCTTCCGCCCCGAAAACTCCGCTCTGTAGTTGTAGTGGTAAACGAAAATTATGCAACGAAAATTGTGCACACAACTAGGCGATGAATTACATAACAATTTCCCGACCCCGGATAGGGACTGAATCGACTTAGACTACACAAATTTCTGAAAGGTGCCTAAAGATGTTTAAAAATGTTTAAGACGTCTTTTGGATGTCATTAAGACATATTTTAGAAATGTCTTCTGCCTGAGAATCTAACAAACTCAGTCAACATCAAGTATCAATTACATGACATCTATGTTATAATTTCGCTCAACAATGTAAATGTTATATAATACCCAGTGTTATGTAACATTTACATTGTTGAACGCGAAATTCTAACGTAGATATAATGTCTAGAGAGAACTAATATCCCAGTATTGACCTAGAAGCTTCTTTTTTTTTAATGAAACATCGAAACGCGTCACCCAGTACTTTACGATATTTTCCGAGTGAAAATGTAGACCGATCGATTGCTAATTTATCACTTTAACAGCTAAAACTGTTAACATATTAACATTTTAGTCGCGGGATTAATAAACGAGTTGATTTGATGATCCTCCGACACAATATAATATAACATTCATGGATTTGATTACGAATTAATATCGTGATTAAATACCAACCACAACCGTATACATTTAATCCTTCATTAAACTTACAGCCACATTAAATTATTCGTCCTGTACAAACGATCGTGATACTTGTCTTAATCGCTCCGATTAAAATACGAGGTACTACGCATAAATATCTTTCATAATTCGCAGGTTGTATTTAGATTAACGAACCGCCATATTTGCACACGAACGCGTCGTTCCGAGAGTTCGATGTTGTTTGTATCATAGAGACGCATAGTCGGTTCTTTTTAGCTTAATTGACTGTACTGATTCGAAAAATTTATACACACATTGAAACGCACGAAGCGTACGAGATTCTCGTACGCTTCGTGTGCGTATATTTCTTGAACCAGTGCAGCCAGTTCAGCTAAAAAGAACAGATCAGCAATTGATTAATACTCGTGAACAAGCGGGTAAGTAAGCGATTTTAACCTCCCAAGCCGTCAGTTAGAAGATTTATCGCTGGAAGATGTTATCGCTCTCATTCACGGGTAGCACAAATTGATTGGCTAACCGTCGTCCAACGTTGACTAGACGTTTCGACAACGATTAACCAACCAATTTATACTGCTCGGATTTATTTTGAATATTTACCCGAGCAGTCCTTCGACGACGATGTGCGGGTTTTTCGTTCCAATGTCCGACGCATAATGGTATTCTGAAAGCAGTCGTTATTACATCGTTGAACAACGCCTACATTTAGTGGCCGTGCAGCTATATTTTGTATTTAATGCTAATTCAGCGTCGACTAGTGATACATGGCTATCAAATTACCTTTAAGGACATGCAATCGTGAATAAAGTTTGTTGTCTTGTAAGTAGACGCAGAAGACTTGAAAGTTCGCTTGAACTGAAACTGCGAAGCTACACTTTGCAATATGGCTGATCCGTTCAAATTCGGACTCCAACGGCTGTTCAACGCCAGCAGCGGTGACGTAAGTAAACTGTTCGCCCAATGGGTTTGAATCTTGGTTAAACAGGTTCAAGTCTCGGCTGAAAGACCCGTTATAATAAGACCCTTTGCTATTTTCTTAGTTCCGAAGTCTCCGCTACGAGCCGCTACTGTTTGCCAGTAGAAATTGAGGTAGTACAACTCAATGGTAAGTCAGCCGACCTTCGCTCTTCAAATAACGTGACTCAACGATGAGTCAAACGGATCCCAATTTCAATTAGTGCAATTAAACAGGAAATCAGAAAAGTTTTATTTCCAAATAATATGACTAAAGAACGAATTAAATAGATTTTACTTTTTTTAATTTTCAAAGAATACAACTCAATGACAAATCAGATAAACTTTTCTTCTTCAGCAAGACGAGCGAACTTTTGCTTTTATTTACTCTATGATATTATCGCTTTAATATCTGACTTATGAATGAAAACGTTTGATATATTACTTAAAAACGATAAAGTAGTGTCTCGAAAATGTTCTCTTTTGTATATTAATATATTTTACCACTTGTATTAACGATTAAACGTCAATATGCGTCAATCGTACGTTATGTTTGTGTGTATGTGTGAAACATGCCAGTAGAAACCATGTGTTGATACGAATGATTTGTTTGCGAATGTTAACTAAATTCCTTTAAAATTATTTACGCTGAAATAAAACTTTTTTCCTACAATCTTTAATCGTGTCTTTCATAAATCATTGCACACGACGAGATGTTCGATTCGGAGCGTGATACGTTGAAACGCGGGTGAGTAAGAGGTTAGGAAACAATTTCAAATGCATTGATACATTTCACTAAATAATCGACACGTATTATTTTTCACACATTAGAGAGCAGCACGTTATTCTGCAAGAATACAACGATATCGTTGAGGAACTCAAACGGGAATTGGAGATTTGCAAAGTGAGTTGTTTCTCACGACAGTCTACTTAACATCAACATTTTTACTTTATTCTATAACAATCCCATGTTGTCTTGAAACAGCTGCTCGCATAGCAATAATTCTATATATGAGAGGGATATTTTTTTTAGACAGAGCAAAATGGCATACGTTCCCAGCTTCAGTCTCTACACGTTGAAACTAAAGACAGCAGCGATACCATGCGTGATTATATTTCACACATCCACTTGGAAGAATGCGGTGACGGGGATACGCATAATAAAATGATCACAAACTTGAAAGAACGCATCGCAGCCCTGCAAGCGGAGAAGGACTCGGCGGTACAACTGTGGCAGGTATCGATGAAAGCCGTGGATGCTCTGGAGCAGGAATTAAGAACTCGTCCAGTAGACAGTAAAGATGTAAAATTCTACGAAGAACAACTGAAAGACGTCAGACAATCGTACTCAGAAGCTATAAAGGCTCTAGAGAGTAAGTTGCTCCAAGCCAAAGAAAATTTCACGAAGCAGCAGTCCCTGTGGGTATCCAGCAAGGAGACGATAGAAACTTTAAAGTGGGAGAAGCAGGAATTGACGAAGAAACTTCAAGAGTCTCAACAAGATGCTCAGCAGAGAGGTCAGTTATTCGCATAAAATTTAATTTCACGGCATGTGAGAGATGTTACATGTTCACTAATCTCATTAAAGACAGGACCAGTCAGCAGAGAATACAGTCGTTAACGGATGAGTTGTCCGCCGCGAGGGCGGAGACGCAGAGGATGGATCACTCAAAGTCGGACCTGGAGAAGAAACTGAACGAGAGTAGAAGAGTCGCCGGTAACATTCTGGCGAAGAACGAGGAGACGAAGTGTAAGATGGCCGAGGCTCTGGATCTGATCGAGTCCGCGGTGCGGGAGAAGGACTTTGCGTTGCAGAGGGAGGCGCAAGTTGCTGAGCAGAAGGCTAAGCTGGAAGCACGGTTGGCTTCCATCGCCGAGGAGCACGTCGGCAAGACGCAAAGCGAGATCGCGAGACTGAAAGACGCTCACGAGCACAACGTGAGGAAGTATCAGGTGGAGATCAAAGAGCTGAAGTCGGAACTGCGCGAGAAGGCGACGCTGTTGGATCGCTCGCAGAGGGAGAGCCGATTGGCGGAAGAGGAGCTCGAGAGGGTGCGCCGGGATTCCGAGGATCTGCTGGCGAAATCAGCCGCCAAGCTGCTGAACTTCGAGCAAGCCTTGAAACAAGCGGACTCCAAGTTGGATGCGTGCAACGAGACGGCGCAGTCTGAGAAACGGTACAGCTCGGAGATGCGGCAGTTGCGGGAGAAGATCGCCGGTCTGGAGGAGAAACTGGCGGTCTCCAGCGAGAAACTGAGGCAGATTCAGCAGCAAAGCGTCACGGATGATCGCGTCAGGTCGGCTGACGAAAAGACGAAGGATGCGATCGATCGTTACGCCAATCTGGAGAGGCAGTTGACGAGAGCCACGGATGACAAGGAGTCGCTGACGGCCGAATTGAAATCACTGCAGTCCGCTTTCGACCGCGAGATACACAAGCGGGATTACGAGCGACGCGCGTTGGAGAACAGAATTCGCGAATTGGAGGCGAATGCGATGGAGAACGAGTCGGGCGTCGGTGGGCCTCCGATAGTCCAACGTCGCGCGGATACGACGAATAAGCATACATTGGACATACGGTATGCGTATAATTGTTTTCCTACAATATCATAATAAGTGTACGTAGAGTTGTATATATATATATTTATACATGAAATAATTTCGCACGTCCTCCACAGGGTAGAAAACATTGGTCACAATTGGAAATTGTTATTGTCCGAGCAACTGAGTAAGCAGCGGGAAGATTTCGACAAGAAAATGAAAGAAATGACGCAACACGTGACGATCCATCAAAAGATAAGCAATGAGTAAGTAATAAGGTTTACTTTTAGGCCCGATTACGTTATTTTGACTTTAAACGAGGCTGAAATATGTGTGTCTTTATTTATCTGGAAAGAAGGATAATGATAGACACAATATCGCTTAAAACCACAATAATGTTGGTGCAACCGGACTTGTAATGGGATCGTATCAAGTTGACTTTGACAGATCTGGTTTCTGTTTTGAGATGGAGAGAAGAAGCGAAGGCTCTTACGGCACGGTTTCGAGTAAAATCCAAGGAACTACGCGGAAAGATCCTTTTATTGCGGGAAGAAAACGCCGAGCTCCAGAAAGCACTGGTGCTTTGCAGGCAGCAGTTCACCCAGTACAGAACATGCACTCTACACAGGTATGTATACCGCAAAATCTTCAAGTTACAATTACGGATAAGGATGTACATCTTTTCACACCTCTTTTGTGTTGTTTCAGTCATATACAAGGGCCTGAGACCAGGTGACGACGTCCTTTGTTAGGTACAAAACGATCATCGGACGCTGTAAATAATAATAGACCGTTCGATTTTATTTACGAGAAAGATACAAATCCTAAGAAGCGGCGTGAATTCCCTCTCCGAAATCTATTCTATCGGCATATCATCAGCAGCACTGACACTGACGCAGAGTTTATTCTTTGGAAATGATACAAGCCGTGAATAAACTAGGAAACCAATACAAAGTCTCGTCGTCGGCCTGCTCATCCAGCCAAGCCAGTCCCTCCTTCATCATGTGATCCAAAGCCTTCTGTGCTCTGTCCTCCTCCCATCTCAATTCCTTGCACAGGACAGACTTGGAGACACACGCGTTCGCCGACAAACTGGCCTGATGCAGCACCGCCGTATGATCCATGCTGAGTTCACCGGGCACCGATTGCACCAAGTACTTCCCTCCGCCGATGGGAACTACGGAGAAACCATTGCCGAATATTCGCAATTTCTTAGCTGCAGCCAGCAGATCCTCGTTGGTGATCTCCTGATGCTCCTTCCTGCGTCCTCTCGCCTGGATCAAGCGAGTTCTCAGCTCGTCCAGTGATATCAGGCCGCCATTCTTGTAATTGGTCGCCATGCAAACCTCCACGATCTGCACGGCCAGCTCGTAGTAGAAATCACCGATGCCCAGCACCGACCAGAAACCTTTGCCGGACGCGAGGGGATCCACGCCGATCGAGGCGCACATCTCCGTGAACTGACGGCGGAAACGAGCGTTCTTCTTGATCTCATTCTTGTGCTTGCTCGCAAACTCCTCCAGATTCACGCGGAACGTCTCCATGTGCTTCGTCATCTGTTCGAACTGGTTCTCCTGGATCTCCGTACCCTTGTCCCGGTACTTCTCCTGCTCCAGCTTCTGCTTCTGTATCGCCCCCACGCCCGCCTTCCGCCTCATCTCCTTTCTCCCGATTATTCAGCCTGAAATCAAGCTTCTCGAAGCAATCTCGTTACACTGTTAAATAATCGATGATGCACACGAAGCTCGCTATTGCGTTCCTTCAGTTAAACGACTCGGCTAACCTATCTCTCTCGTGGAAGCCGAGAAAACTTGACGTTACCTGACATGCGTTTGACATGTGTCAAACGAGGGTCGCAAGGTTATGTCGAGGTTGCGTCGAAATTAAATCGAGACAAGTCTCGATTTACGAGGCATTGAAGGAGAAAATCGGTCCGTTTTGCAAAATGTTAATTTTAACCATATCTTCTTGCACTTTTTGCTAATTTCAAGTGGAAGTGCATTCACGGGTGAAATCGGAGCACATGAAAATTCACACGAAACTTCGTGCGAATGGGACACGTGTGGTTCTCGCTCTCCTCTTCGTCGCTCCAGTGACTGAATATAGATCTGTCTTGTTCTACGTGCAGAAAGTGCAAGGAAGGGCAGCTAAATAAACGGACTTCGCACGCGGTTTGAACAGCGACTGGCCGTCAGCATCTACCTGTTCAGCATGAAGATAGGTATTCACCCATTGACAGCAGATCCAACAGCAGCCTGGCACGAGCTATCTCAGCATCAAAAAGTCGTTAAAATAAATACTAAATTGCCGACGACAGAAGCGCCGAGTGATAAAGTATGTTTGATGAATTTTCTTCCGCCTTAATTTCTGTAATAGACGCGTTCGTGTTAACCTCGAAATTGTCTTCGCTTATGCGTCCCAGCTTATCAGTAAATAATTACTATAAAGATGGATCGAATTTTTCTACGAACATTAATTACAAGATTATTTGACCAAACGACGAACACATTTGATGATGATCCTTAATTTTCAGTTACGCGTAGTATGTATGAGCGACACACACTCGCTAACACCGTATATAAAGTTCGACATACCCGCCGGTGACATTTTCATCCACGCCGGGGATTTCACGAAATGTGGTAGTCTGCAGGAAGTTATAGAATTTAATAATTGGATAGGTTAGCATAATTAATTTTGCGGTATCTCGTTGCATGTGTAACATTACCTGGATTTTATAAATTGTATGTAGTTGTGAGAAAAAAAAAAAATATATATATATTGTGTATGATTTCAGGTAATTTACCACACAAACACAAGATAGTTATAGCTGGAAATCATGAGCTTAGTTTTGATCCAACGTTTACAAATCCGTTTTCCGTGCATACTAGTGGAGATCGTCAAAAACATACAGGAACCAGCATACTTGACAATATACCCACTCTGGGTATGTCAAAAGATACTCTTGCTGAAGCTATTAAAACTACTAATGTTAAAGATTATCTGACGAATTGTACATATTTGGAAGACTCTGAAATTACGTTACATGGGATCAAGATATATGGTACTCCATGGTAAATATTCTGCGATATTAATTTTACTAAACAATACCTAACGATTAAGTAATATGTAACATATATTGTGCCAAATACAAAATTGTAAGTCAAAAGTGAAAATGGATTTTGCGTTAGATTTAAAATAAGATAATTGATATTTAAGTATTTCGTGGCCTTTAATCAGTACAATCAGATATACCACGGATGTTTTATACTGATATGTTATAAAAGATGAACGTAATTATGACACACATTTGTAAAAGCATCACATATGTGTGTGTATGTGTGTGTCTGGCTTGAAAGTAAAATTACGAAGAAATATTTGTAGAAAATAATTGCAGGTATAACATTCTTATTTCTGTGGCACATTTCGTTGAAACTGTAGGCAACCAGAGTTTTGTAAGTGGGCATTTAATGTGCCGCGTGGTGAAGCGTGTCTCTCGAAGTGGGAAATGATACCGTCAGACACCGATATCCTCGTAACCCACACCCCCCCTGTAGGTCACGGGGATCTGTGCTGTAGCGGAGTACGTGCTGGATGCGTTGAACTATTGTCGACGGTACAAAATCGAGTGAAACCCAAATATCACGTTTTCGGACATATACACGAAGGTATGACACGAGATTTGAAATACACGAAAATATGTCTCATAGGTAAACAGTCTTATTTTATAGGATATGGTATATCTTCGGATGGCAAGATAATATATATCAATGCGTCAACGTGTGATCTGAATTATCTGCCAAGCAATCCACCAATAGTATTCGATATAACATTACCTCCCGGTATTCAGAAATAATCAACTGTCAACTGTGAAGTGATATCCGACGCTATCAATATGTACTTCTATGCATAATACTACGTCGTGAAAATACTTGAGATTTTTCTTACAAGCTGAGAAATATCTTCCTTCTATGTGATCGGCATGCAACATGTAGGAGTTTTTTGCTTTAATTTCATATATGCAAAGCATGTATAAAGCATATAATAGATATAGATTTTAATTTATTTCTTTTTCACACGATTTGTAATACCTTAATGATATTAAACAATATCTGATCTAATTTATACGGGTTCTTAATAAAAGTCCTATGAATGATGTAGTCCGTTATTTAGTTCTAGTGGTAAATGGTGATAAGCAGTTTAACAATTTTTTAACTAAATACACCTTTCAATATTATCCTACATCATTATTTCATGAGTAATAAGAAAGTTGGATTTTTTCAATAAACAAAATATAATTTATTCTAAATTATATTTATTGCATTATATTCCAATTTCAATTACAATGTAACGATTATTAATATTTCGAAGATTTTGTTAAAGAACAAACAGCTTCGAATTAGCAAGGGAATTTATTATCGGAAAAAGTTAAAAATTTGGAATTTATTATCGGAATTGTTTTGAAAAATATCTAAGATAGGTAATATTTCTTTAAATAATAATTATCAGCAATAAAAATTATGTCCTCCTTTATATATATTTATTGCAGTAAACAATCATGTAACAAATGGCACTTTTTCATTAGATAAAAAAATTCGCAATTATATTATCATCATAATTGTACTGAGCTAAATTCGTATGTTGGTCTGAAGTTATTTATCATGCGAACGTATAATTGGACTATTTATTAAGCATCATGGACTATTTTTATATTAAATCGTCTGCAGCAAATTATAGTCAAAATAAATACAGTCAGTGCCATTTTTCGATCATATATGCGATAATCACAACTCTCGATGGATTCAATATTTTACTTGAGTAAATTTATGTCACATGTTTGTATCAATATACGAAAAATCTCTATAACCATTGCAGATCTTAAATTTAATTAAATACGAAATATGCCCGTGCCAGTAAATCATATGAATTTCACATATGTAGCTGGATGACTTTTCTAAATCATGATTTACAAGTATATTTTAACTCATAAAATTACTAATGTGTCATTTAACATTATAGCGTTTTATAACAGATCAACCGTCGTCTTTCTTAAAAATAGATGATGCGATATTTTGAGTTACACCGAGCTCAAACTTGGATTACACCAAAACTTATAAAACATATGCATACTTCCAATTATTTGTAGAAAAATAAAGAGTGCTTGTACTATCAAA